TATGTAATGGGCTATAAGAATAGCTGCAAATGCAGTTAGATGGTTCTTATAATATCTTGGTAAAGTATACAGAAGTTGAAACCTATACAATAATGATAATGATGATTTTGAACGCAGTGAATTGTAATTAAACAATCCCTCCGATCTTTTGTCAGGATGGATAATATAATACGCACTCAGTTTGAAAGAATGAGTTGTATTGCGACTTATGTTCACGATTTGAATTAACCAATCCGGTCAACCGTATCGTGACTGAATTGAAAATATAGTGTTTATTATCTGTTTCGATTTTTGACTCTTGCGTGAATGTAAGCTCCAAGCATCAATTCCGGATGATTCGAATTCAATGCACTCGATTCACCACCACCTCCACCACCAGGACACGCAAATATTAGTCATCTCAATTTTTAATTTCTCTACTCACTCTGTGCAGGTACGATCTGGTGCTCGATTGTTCAGATAATCTAGCCACACGCTATCTGATCAATGATGCATGTGCTGTTTCCGGACCCAAACCGTTGATCAGTGGTAGCGCGTTGCGTCTGGAGGGTCAGATGACAGTGTATCTTGCCAACCGAATGCTTACCAAAGAGGAAGCGGACAGTGACACGAGGCTTCCATCGAGTGCTCGCGCACCGTGTTTCCGTTGCCTGTACCCCGTTCCACCAGCAGCAGACACTGTTCAAGGCTGTTCCGAAGCTGGGGTGCTTGGGGTCGGTAAGTAGTTACAAGGCTTCCAAACATACCGGGGAGCTCGAAATCTATTCTCACACTTGTGCTGATTGATCAAAACTTTTTCAGTAAGTATTCACAACGGGCTGTGTGATACCGACCCCGGTGTTTCATTTTGAAAGAATTACACTAAGTTAACCTAAAGCTAACAATTGGGGATAATTACTTGAATCGAGACGACGACATAATGGGCGGTGGTGGCGCAGTGGTTTAGTGGATATCATCGGCTTGCTTCGGACCCTATGGTCCGAGGTTCGAGCTCCGCCACCCTACTTTGGTGGTAGGCAGCTCTGCTGTTGTCCGGTTTAACACCACGCCTAACCTATCGCGGCCTTATGTGGTTCGCCACTCCAAGTCCTGGGGCGTAGGTTGCTGGTTTCCATCACTGAACAGCAGGTCCTCGTTACTATGGGGCTCGCTCCGTCTGCTGTTCATCGCACGTGGGTATGTAACAAAAAATAATAAATAATAGCCTGTACATAGTTCGTCCTTTATCAACGATTTTAAACGATAAGAACGCTACGTTCAAAGATCAGAGATAACTCATTTGTAGATGATCTTACCAGTTTACTGTATCGCATCTGATCCCGGGAGCGCAATCTGTCACTTTTGGGCCAATCATTGTTCGTTCCAATTTTTACCGAGAGATCTTGCATCGACTGCGTAGACCACCGAGAGATGAGCTTGATCTCAATCTTCACGAAAGTGTGGGCCTCTGACAGCTGACGCCGTTAAGTGAGGGATCAATTTCCGTGAACAACTCGCTGCATTCCGGTCAAGTCGCGGTTGTATTGATCAGGATCAAGTTAACTGACTAAGGTCACATGCTTTTGTTCGAATTTGGGTCTATGAAGAAACAACCAGTAGTTCGTTCGTCACTATCATCGATGTTGATCAAGGGTACCCTATCTTGTCAATCCCGTTTCAATTTCCTGGTTAACGAAATATCGGAGAACAACACCCGAAATGTGTTGACATTGGATAGGTAGCTAAAAAAACCGAGTGCAAGTGCGCGGACGAAACGGAATGTTTGGAGACACCCAAAGCTCCGCGGAGTGCAGAGTAATAGTACAAGACTGAGTATCGATTAGTTCCGTCCCGAAACTATGTTGTCAGTGGTTGTTTGCTCCCCCTACGTACGCAATTGTGTGTGACAAATGACCGGCGATAATCACACATATTTACAAGGCTCTCGAGCATCATTTGTGATGCGGAAACCTTTGACCTAGACTCGAACTTTCACACAGGTCGAATGCTCGAGTTTACTCAATCATAGTGTGATCAGTTTTACTCAAGGATTTTCACGTTGCGTCGGATCCTTGAGCTGCGTCACACCACCGTCGGCCAACGATCGCAGTGTTCCTTGACCTGAAAAGAACCTTCGACTCAGTTGACCGCGAAGCTCTGATGGGCTCCCTTCTTCGAAAAGGAATGCCCCAGAAGTACGTTAACCTACTGAGGTCACTGTACTCACAGACCTCCGGTCGTGTAAGGGTCTACAACGAACTAAGTGGGCTGTTCGTCACCGGTAGCGGCGTTCGTCAAGGGTGCCCTCTTTCGCCGTTTCTTTTTAATTTCGTCGTAGACGAAATACTGGAGAGCGCACTAAAGGGACTCCAAAACATCGGTATTGAATGGACAGGTGGAGAAAAGCTGTGACTTAGAGTATGCCGATGACATCGTCTGTCTGTTCGAATGTATGGAGGACGCG